GAGGACACAGAAAAAATACATGCCATGTTGCCTCCCCCAATGATTTCAATATGCCATCAAGCTTAGCCTTCTCTAAGAAATCAACCAACCAGTTGAAACAAAGAGATATTAAACTATGATTTTAGGGAAAGTTTCTAACTCTGAGGAGATGTTTCTGTGGAAATTGTAAAGCATCAATTTTCACATCATTCTGATTCCCGAGCCAGCTATTTCTTGTGTCTTACTCCTCTGCTCTCAGATGAGATAATTCTGTAGAGTTATGGCTGTGAGTGTACAGATATGAACAGTTACAGAGCAAAAATCCCTTTGCCATGATGATCAAGACAAGCCAAAAACCTCTGTCACACCATGATTCACAGGTACGGTCTTATCCCATATAGTAGAACATGTTCCTGTACAGCCTATCTTCACAATGTGCAGAGCTTCCTATGCCAGTATTAGTGACATCTTTACTGTTTTCAGACTTACGTGTGCATGTGGGAGCAAGAAATAGTAAACACTACCCTCTGTTGCAGATTTATGTCAAAATTGAAGGAAGGAGACAACAGAGGAGAAAAACATACTTTTGAGCATTGATTCCATCAATGGCCTGGATCATCCTCTCATTCAGTTCCTCCTCAAACCTTCTTTTCTGTGATTTTGTTCTGAAATGAAAAATATGGGAAGATACTTTGGAAAATCAATACATTGTTAATAAACATTAACTTTAAACAATGGGGTCACAGCTGGCATAAACTTGTGAGGATAACATTTTTTTCACATTTATGCTGCAATAGCAGCTATAGGCTTCAGGCACACTGAGCCTCATAATAAGCTCTTAACAAAACCAGCATAAGCTACAGAGTCTGACACACACACACAAAAAAATCTAGAGTTTAGCTGTTAGGGAGCACTTAAAAAACAAACACAGGAAAACATTTCATAAAAAAAACAAACCAAGAGAGTTCAAGAAATTCTGGTTGAAGGAAAGTCTTCCACAGTGTTACGAATTCATGAAAAAAATGGGAATATGCTCAAATTCATAAAACACTTCTGTTTCTTGTAGTTATTTTTAATAGTCCTTGTCAGAATTGTATGATGAACAATAATGTGCTAGTGCACTGAGGCATAGTAAGTATTCTCTACCAAAAGCCTGCTAACTCTTCTTTTCTTGGAAATGTTTTCTTATTTTTAATAAGAAAACTGAGCACCAAGTCTGAAATTAGTTTCAAACATACGTCATGCTCCTCTATTTATAACACAATTGCAATGAAAAAAAGGATCTTTTCTTTCCACTGGACTCAGCATGAACCCAACAGAGGATCATCAGAATGGGTTTGTCTTTACTAACATGTTACTGCAAACATCATCAGTCCTTTCAGCAGTTGCGCTCTCCTTAAAAATAGAATATTTCAAATATTGCCAGATGTCCTGGTTTCGGCAGGGATAGAGTTAATTTCCTTCCTAGTAGCTGGTACAGTGCTGGGTTTTGGATTTAGGATGGGAACAAAGTTGATAACACACCGATGTTTTAGTTGTTGCTAAGCAGTGCTTACACTAGCCAAAGACTTTTTAGTTTCCCATGCTCTACCAACTGGGAAGGCTGGAGGTGCACAAGAAGCTGGGAGGGGGCACAGCCAAACTGGCCAAAGGGACATTCCATACCATGTGACGTCATGCTCAGTACATAAACTGGGGGAAGCTGGCCGGGGGGGGCCGCTGCTCGGGGACTGGCAGGGCATCAGTCGGCAGGTGGTGAGCAATTGCACTGTGCATCACTTGCTTTGTGTATTATCATTATTATTATTATTACATTATTATTATTATTTTATTTCAATTATTAAACTGTTTTTATCTCAACCCATGAATTTTTCTCACTTGTGCTCTTCCAATTCTCTCCCCCATCCCACCAGGGGGCAGGGGGGAGGAGTGAATGAGCAGCTGTGTGGTGCTCAGTTGCTGACTGAGGTTAAATCACGACACCAGATTATATCTCTGCCTCTTGAAAACTTAAATCCAATATTAACTTAATAATAGTGTTTTGTAAGAAGTCAACAGTCAGATCTGAAATTTGACTCTTTGCTTACCAAAATTTTCTTAACCTACAGATTGAACCCTGTCAAAACGAACACGGATTTTCTTCACCATCAAGTTTTTGGGTTATTTCCCCCAAACTGATAACCTGTTGCAGGATTCAAATTCATACAGAAATGATATTAGTGTACTTAAAGTAACTTTAAACAACCCAACAGATTTCATGCCTATTCGATGCTATAGAATTTAGGTAAGAAAGTGTTTACAACTTATTTTTCACATATGAAACAGTCTGCCTAGGAGAAATAACTAGACAGATGAGGAGACATTATCTAATCACACTTAATCCTCTTGGCAGATCCCTAACAACATAAGACTATCGTGTAACTAGATAAGAGCTAAGACTGCCACAAACAGAAGCCTACAGTCAGGCTTCAAAACCCACATTTTCATATTCGAATAAAATACTGATTTTCAGAGTGCTTATTATCATTTCAGCTCTCTCCTGTGGGAATGACTAACTAGCTTATCTAGAATCCTAGTTATATGCCTCACTACGGACATAAGACTCCAGTAATGGTTTCTAGAAACTCCTTCTATAATATGGTATCAAGACACATGGCAACATTTGTACCTTTTGGGTCTATTTTGGAGTGGAATTTAGAAACACAAAAGCAAGAACATCTCAGAATCGTAAAGAATTGCATTATTTGCAAATACCACAGTCCAATGATCTTCTTTTTACCATAAGGCTGATAGAAGTCCTTTTGATATACTGTCCAAATGTAAATGCTCAGTTTTAAAATCAGAGACTGTTTTTATTAGTATCATGCATATTCAGTCAAAACTTGTTCATCTTCTGGAATTTAGCAATATTTTGGGTAATCGCATAGCTCTCCAGTAACCTGTGATTTGTTGAGGAGACATTTACCAAGCAGAGAGATGGGGAAGGAGCAGACAGAATGACTTGTTTGCATAACCAAAGACAATGAAAATACAAATTTTAAAAGGTTCTTTCAAGCGATTTTATGGTATATGTGATATTACTTATAATTTTGCAAGACATTATCTGAAGTGTTATCAGGTCATTAAAATAAAAATTAACCATTCCAGGTTTCTGACAGTGCTAAGCTTGTTTTTTAAACAGATGTCATTCTTTTCTTGATTTAGAAATTCTGGGTGTTTTTAAAGAAGTGATCAGTTCAAACTGGTTTCCATTTCTCACCATCTTGGCCTAGTCATTGAAGTACCAAGCAGGAGAATGAAAACTTAAAGGTATTGTGATTTTGCAAACATTTTGTGTAGCGGGAGCACTACAGGAAGACCACGAAATACCTTTTGAAAGTTTACTACTGCAAACATGCTACAGACTTTGAAATAATAAAACACAATGCAAATACAAAGCAATTAACAAAATATATAAAATGTCTCTTTTAGTACATATTATTAGCTGTTGTAACACAAATTATTAACAGCCCTTTTCATCTTCCCTTTTCTTACCCCTCTGTGCCTCCTCTCAATTTTCCTGCATATAATTTTCTCCCCACTGATAGAGTAATTGGGTTGTTAGGAGAAACTAATAGTAGTCCATCAACATACTTATACTAATTCAGAATAATGTTATTTGTTAGCAGGATTCGCAATTCATAAGTAACATGTCTGCCAAATCTGTTTCCAAAGCCCTTCTCTATGTAAGAGAGATCAGCTGAAAAAATAGTTTGGGTGAGAAATGGCCCTCAATATTTGAAAGCATGCCTTATATACATATGAATGCATATGAATGTATGTGTATTTATATGGACTTTATATGAGTAAGTGATTTTTAAAAATTAATTTACCTCTCTCTGCAACGCTGAAAATGATATTGCCCCATGGGAACATCCTAAAAAATGAAAGAAAATACCTATGAATTATAACAGACTTTGACAACATTAATTTGCTTTAAAAATAGTGTTGAAAACAGGGTCAAGTAAGGAGAAAATTTTTCAATACAAATACTTTTAGCATTAGATTAAAACTGTCTGAAAAAAAAAATCCGGCCAAGAGTGAAGATGGAGTGACCTGGAGACAAACTGATCTATCATTATAAACACTAAATAACTAATACAACATTCTGAATCCAAGAATGTTTTGCTTTACTAGAAATTCACTGCTTCAAAGTCACCACTTTTTTAACATAGCCCAAACTCCTGCCAGCTTCAGCAAAAGCCAATGCTAAGTGTTTTTGAAAAAAACAGACCTGAGTGGCCAAATACAGGCAATGGTCGTTATTTTTTTTTATAAGCAACAGCAGCCATCACAGCCACATTTATTTTGTGATTAATAGTGATGGCTGGGTACTTTCTGTAACGAACACGTCACAATCCACATTCTGATGCACTGTGTTTTTTGAACAAGATGGGTTAGGTGGCTCAATCCTATGTTCTCATATGTAACAGGAAGAAAACTGAATGCCAATGTTGAAAACTATTAGAATTTACCTTTATGTTTGCACTTTTTGGAAGTAGAAGATAATGCAGTGTACAAGCTGTGGACTGACAGTGTCTTACTGACAGCAGTAAAATAGCGTTAGCAAAATTAAAAAGAAATTTTTTCTGTTCATTGTAAGAGATGTAACATTGCACTACAGCACTGCAAAACTCAGGCCATCAGCCATAGCTGATGAGAGTTAGTGCACCTTCAAAAGGTAGATGTTACAGTGAGTATGCATTTGGTTCCCAGAGAACTCTTCTAATAAATTCCACTCCAGGTACCACAGGGATATTCTAACTTCTCAGCCTTTGCTCCAGGTTTGGCCATGTTCCAAATACAGACTGTGGCTAAATAGCCAATAAATCTCAGGGAATGTCTCTGTATCAAGAGTGTTCCTTCCCAAAGGTGTTGCACTCTGGCTTTATGTTCAAAATGTCTCTCCACAAGGTGAACAGCAGCCACACTACATGCTGTGACTGGGGCTCAAGCTCAGAGGGTCAAATTGTGTATTTTAGTAAGTACATTGGACTCCTTATGATTCAGAGATGCACTTATAGCAAGACATGGCTCCTTAGAGTCTAATCCAAAACTCACATGCCAATGGAAAAGCTCCCAGCAACTTCACTGGGTTTATGCCCTGTACAAACGCATGTATCTTCTTCTATCAGAAATAACGAGGTGTTTAGCAGTGAGCACCTTTTTCCTTTCAAATATTGCTAAATTGTATGAAATGACATAAGTAGGCCCCTACTGTTGTGCTAATCTTGCCGTTTTCAGTGGTCATGCTGTCCCTGTGGTGCAAGTGTGCAAATGGCTTGGCTGCTCCCCAAGATTCCAGGTACCGGGTCATGCGGACAGAAGCTCTCATTTTGGCTCCATCAAGAGTATGTCGAGGCCTAATGTGGTGCTGAGGGCTTCGCTTCTCTCCCTGGTTGACAGAGAATAAAAGGTGATATCAGTCTTGGTGTTCGTTACCTTTTGAAGCAGTAATGCATCATCTGGACCACGTATCTGCATGCTTAGGAACTTAAAAATGGAGAGATGCTAAGAACCTGCAATTCTTAATGATATTGCTGGGAAATATCAGAGACTTATTTCTGAAGAGCGGGAAAGATTTGCAATGCAAACATTATGTATTTGTAGGCATCAGTGATAGCTCTGATCAATATCTTATGGTAGTGAATTATTCAATAAAGAGATTAGTGGTCCTGCTCAAAAATAACTATGACTGGCCACAAAATAAAAGTACTACTAACCTTAGGATTGATTACAAAGTAAGTCTTAACATTATGCTCTTTCAGATATGGGTCCCTCACATCTCCATCCCCATCTTCCACTTTGTAAGCTCCATTCAAATGTGCCAAGGTGACTGAGGTGATGTGAACACGGCTGAAATTATATTTTAAAAGAATGACAGAATCACAAACACCAATCAAAAGCATAATTTGAACCTGATCCACCTTTTTTACTAGCTTTTGGATATACTTTTTATACACTGCTCACTTCATTTACAGTCCCTCTAATCTAATTTTTAGAAGTTGTAATGGGCATAAATCTAAAGGTTTCCATCCAGAAAAAAATACTCTTTAAATCACGGGAAATACTGAGTACCCGGTTGTTGTTTTTTAAAGACAGCACTAAGAATTACTTCAGGCTTCTCCATGAAGGCTGATGGCTGAAGACATGGTACCTGTGCATTTCTCCATGGTACAAAAATCCATGTGTCCAAAGGTTAACAGAGAAGCCTCTTACCCTGGGACTCCTCCAGCTTCCATGTGATTTGCCAGAGTAACATCGTGTGACCACACATCGTACTGCCACTTCTGTAGCCCAATAACACCACAAAGCACATTCCCAGAGTGCACTCCTACGCGCATATTAATATCAACTCCAGTTGCATCTCTCACTTTCCTGTAGTTGAGAAGAAAATTTGTGTTAATATATATAATAGGGCCGTGTTTTCTTTTAATTTACCAGTCAAATTAGCAGTAACGATGGTGATAACATTTATTTCTTTTTAGCGTTGCCGCCATTCTTTTTATGCTAGGATTATTTTTATATATTACCTTTACTCTTATCTATATTTGCAACTATTTGCAGTAAATATTAATTCTCAAGTCCATGTCTTAAGTCCCTTCTTTTATACTCATTTGAAATTATTTGGGAGGGCTGAACTAAGTAGTGGAAATGTTTGGTCTCATGGTAGAACCCAGAGACTATTTTTGTTCTACAGGCAGCCTTTGGTATGGCTTTTAATGCAGTGACAGTCCAACAAACATATTTTGGAGATCTGGAACTACTGTTATGAGCCCTTCTATCTGAAGATCTACATTGGAGACCTTCTCATACCTGGCTTCTGTCAGGTCCCATCACCCTTGCACGTCTGCTCACAAATGGTTCTGCTCTGAGAGGAAGGATGAAAAAACGCAGCACCTCAGGATATTCTACAGGCTGGTGGCTCATACACTTTTTGGGGATATAGGCTCAGCGCCATTCAGGCTGTGGAGAACATAGGCTCAACAGCCTTCCACATGATTCGTGAACACTGTACCTGCTAGATCGTTATACAAAGAATGCGAGGCCACCCTCACTGTCCAGACCACATCTAAACCTTTGACCTATCCAGTGACTTTAGACAGAGTTGAAGTATCTGTTCACCCCAGCCTAAATTTCAGAAGAGCCCTACACATAAGATAGGCATTAATCTTTCCAGAAGAGGCTTTTCTGAATCACAGGTGGGTGACTAAAGTCAAACAACCAGAACTTTTTCAGACATATGTCATATAGGTACCTAATGACATATGTAAAGAGTTAGAAGATTAATTCAGATGTCTACAGGCTTATACAGTTCTAAGAAATGGGAAGATAGTAACTTAACTGGATTTATGTATTTAAGACCCAACTCATGTGGACCAAAACCTAACCAGTAATAAGGAACATGTACAGACATTAATCTTAGGGGAATTCAGGGTGTTGATGGAGGGAACAACTATAGAATAAGAAACCCCAATGGCTCCTGTGTGAGAGTCAGGTTCATAGTTCTAGCAACATCTTCAATATTTCAATGATGAGAATCATCAGCTCTGTACCTTCTGAATTACAGAATTAAATTGGCCTGTTTCTCTTCTTTTTTTGAAAGGGAACATAGAACTTAACACGCTTAATTTGATATGGTAAATCCTATGTGTAAGCAGTAGTTCTCAAGTCTTCTTTTTCTGAGAAATGAAAATAACAGGAGCATGACTGAAAGTATTTTGTTAAACTGTGTTTTGAAGTTATTAAAGAGAGGAGAATTGTTTTAATTCCCTCAGTCTCTATCAAGTGTTTATTGATACCTCTTTTCACTTTGCCATTTTACACTGCTCTCCTGTAGCTGACACACTTGAAAATGAACTGCTTGTTAATGATCTTTGTAAGCAGTCAGCAAATGACAAACACCACTTTGCTCTGCACAAGGAATATGACACAAGCTTAACACTCTGGAAAACAGAAAAGTGCTTTACAAAACTGGGCAAAGTGGAAGAGGAACATTTATCCTCTAGGAGTGCTTGTCGAAAGGCTGCCCTGCCATATTCTGGAGAGCAAGCCATAAAGTCTGTTTTATAATAAGCTCTCAGGAGTTAAGGAGGGGAGCAAGTAGAGTATGTTCCAGAAATGAATCTTCTCTTCTGTCTCACAAATTAAAGAAAGCACAGCAGATTTTAAATTAGAAGTGTTATGCTGGACCAAATTAGAGTTTACTACTTCCTTCCTATGCTCCCTGAGCAATTGCTATGACGATGCAGGCACTGAATGCGTCTAAGAATGTAGCCTATCACATCCCCATTGGACACTTGTCTTACCTACACAAGTATATCTGAAACTTCCCACTATTATTGCATCTTCTGCTCCCACAGGCTCTCCGGTTTCCCTCAGCACACCACAGTCAGTGTGTCCATCCTAGCTGGGCAGTCAAAATACTCATCAAGACTGTATTTTTCCTATTGCAGCCTGAAATTTGAGTTTGTAAGGATTCTATGTTTTTCACCAGCATGGTTAGCTTGCAGGTAGTTGTAGCAACTTTACTCCACACAAGCAAGAGTTCAGGTCATTAGGAAAGCATCTACTCTGTTTATCTGAGCTTTATTCATCGGTAATTCTGGACTACTGTTATCAAAGACTCACCTAGTCCTGTCTTAGGCACTTTAACACATTCAGTGAGGCTTGAGCACCTAGTTCCCTGCAAATTGCCAGCTTTATAAGCATAGTTCCTTTTTGGATCAGACCTGCAGGAATGAAATCACACCTAAAAAAAAGTTATTTTATTTTGCATCTAGCTTTCAAATTGGTACAACCATATCATCCACCAGTTTCCTTCACTTTCCTCTGAAATGGAACTCATTTCACGCTACCAAATCAAAGACAGCCTTTGAGAATCTGTGGCTGAGAAACATGTGAATTAGGAAGTCACCAGACAGACAAGGGGGTGGAGTTTGGGCTGAAGGAAAACAGCATATATATTCATACACAAACATATTTTCCCTTAACAGATAAGCTCTAGCCTTAAAGCACGCAATTAAGGTGGCCAGGTCTCAACATCACAGGTAGCACTGGCATCTATGGCTTGATAAGGTGAGCATCCCATTCCTTGGCAAGCAGGCTGCAGACTATAAGATACATTGGATTTGTTCCAACATAGAGCAGAGAAGCAAAGCAATTAATCAATGGGACTACTAACATGTTTAAATGGAAACAATCCGTGGCGTAGAGAGGCTGAATCGCTCAAAATGGAGCTACACATTATTAGGAAACAAGGCTGAATAAGGTTTTGTACTACAGATCACCTGGTAATTTGGTAGAATTCCTCCTTTTTGCTTCAAAGAGAACTGGAACTGAAACTATATTCAGGAAGTAAAATCTATATAGAACTGTTAATCTAAACAGCAAACTGCTTTATTTCAGTAACTTGCACACTGAGGGCTCAGTTTGCACCTCAATGACTGAATATAACAAAAACTCGTATCTGACAAAAAAGGTATTTTAGACAGTGAGTCAAACAATATATTGAGTGACACATTTCCAACAGCAAGAGTATTACTACTTGTAGTTTTACAGGCCACAGAAGTATTTCAGGAGATGCTTCCACACAAAGATGCAGCAATCACACTACGAAATACGGAGTTGATTAATAATCAGTAATTTCTATTCACCTGCAGGCTGCAACACTTGACATAATACTTTGAAAGCATTTCAAAACATGGGGTACAGATTCCTTACTTCTTACAGAGATGTAAACAGGCTATAATAATCAGGCATCTGTCTACAGCGCGCTGTGAATTCTGACTACAGTAATAAAGTCAGATCAGAATGTGCTATACAACTAAAAGATAATTTTCTACTCTATAAGGCTGCTCTTACCAAGGAGGACCTTATCATCCAGCATTAACAATGAACATACTTGATAGCAGCTTGAGCAGAAAGTTATTTCAAAGAAAATTGGGAAGTTCTGAAGTGTGAGGAACTGACAGATTGCTCTCTGAGCTCAAGTAAAGCATTGCATTATGATGTGCAAAATTATACTTTCAGTTCTTCGTGAAGGGCAATTTATGGCTTGAGCTTAGCATTGTTTTTCCATCAGCCTGATTTTTAAGCCAACCCCCAAAAAAGGGGGGGAGTCAGAACTTAGGGACAGAAACTCTTTTTACCTACTGCTCTACTGAAGGGATGTCAGCTTTCGTTCCTGACATGCTAGAGAAGCAATTGGTTTAATGATAATAATGTTCTAGTGTATCTAAATGAAAAAGAGAAAACATTCAGTGAAAGCAACTGAGGAAACAACCAAATCTGTAGATTTTAATGCTTGGCAAGGAGAAGTACTCCAAGTACCATTTAAAAAAATAGATTTCTTTGGACACAATGTAAGGTACAACCATATCTGGATGAAGAAAAAACATTTCAGAAAATGCAGCAACCTGATTCCTGTACTGAGGTTAGTTTTACAAAAGATCCCTCAAGCAAGGAGATAAAAATCCCAGTTTCCACAAATACTACACCTTTTCTGTGAATACCTTAAAAGGAAAAGAACCAAATTTGCATTAATCAACCTACCCATACAGTAATTACCCTGGATGGAATCACAAGACCAGGCAACTGAAAGCCAAAACCTTCTTGTGACTACAATTACACACACATGAGGATTAGACTACAATTACACACATTTAAGGATTAGAGGATTCACTTTTGTACGTCTGTTTAGATAATCACTGAGACAACACTGTTCAACATAACTATCCATTTCATGATGAGGTGCACACCACACATATACCTCACAAGGATGAGGTAATTGCTTACTTTGCTACCTGGACAGTGGTAAATGTGATTTAGGAAAAAAAAACATCAAAATTGGAACTGAAACTAACAGAAGAGTATACCAAGTTTTAAAACCAAAGTCCAGTTGTGTAAAAAAACAAATCACACAGGTCACTACCAAATATCCAGACCTCCACGTGACATATATTTTTGCAAAGTGTAACTCACCTAGATATACCGTAATTTTAATCAAAGGAAACTTAGCTTTGCTACAGAAAAGATATTTGTGCCATTAACGATAACTGCTATAAGTAACCATTTACAATATTTTAACTCCTAGAAGCTAAAAAGAACTTCAGGTATGAATTACAGACAGTGAATTATCTGACTTTGGTTAAAAAAAAGAAGTGGAAGGTTTTTTAGCTGTCCTTTCCTCACAAACTGTTTTTTAAAGAAGCTAGCAGAATCAGACCCTTGCTTAAGAAATAAACTACAATACTGAGCTGAAGTTTCTGGATGGGAAGGTTTAAGACCCTTCAGCATGATGTGCAGACATCCAAACTAGGTTTAGGTACCCTCATACTGAAATGTGTCCAGCTTCAGTGGCAGAACTCATCCAGGGCAGGTAGCGTACAAAAGAGTTATTTCTACTCTGCACTGAGAGTTCAGATAGCAGTTAGGTGAAGAGATGAATGGGAGTAAAGCTGCCCTTTTGCAAGACTTCTTTGGAGTCCTACCATCTTCAGAACTGCTACAGTTGCCTATAATGCATTCCCAATCTAATCCTCAGTAATAAGCTAGAGGATTCCTTAAGTATGCCTTTAGTTGTATCCTCAGATGCCTTACAAGTGTTAACCCATCAGATACAACCATATTTCTTCTCCCTCTTTCACAATCATATCAAGCCTCCTGTTATTACTTGAGTTACTTTAAGTAAGTTACAACTGCTATTTCAAAAGAAATCACATTAGGTTTCTCAAATACCTTGTTCTGTTTTCTGTTTCAAAGACAGAACAAGCACAATGATTATGGGAAAGAAATAAGGGACAAATACAGTAACCCACAAATCCAAAATACTGCTGATAAGCACAGAATTCTCAGTGGTGCCTTAATGTGTTAACTGACAAAACTTTTTAGAAAGTCCTCAACTAAAAAATTAATTACAGAAAAATTGAAACTAAACCTAAACCTGGGATCTAGTAAGACAGGCACATTTTATTGCTTATTTAACAACATGGGAAGTAGGCCTCAGCCTAGGAATCTGTAAGCCTTTAGAAATGCCTTTGGTAGACATGCTCAGTATCACTCCACAGGCTCAGGGCTTGAGGCATCTTAATTGTGGAGGGGCAACTGCTCCTGACCACCACTGAACTTCAAACTCATCAGCAGCCAGGAGCTCTGGCCTCTCACGGAGCCATTTGACTAACAGGTGGGTGGCAGCATCATGATTCTGCATAAAGCAAAACTTCCCAAGTCCTAAGTGATGTCTATTGGGATATTTACCATCTCGTAATCACAGAATAGCTGAGGTCAGAAGGGACCTCTGGAGATTGTCTAGTCCAACTCCTGCTCAAAACAGGGCCAGCTAGAGCAGGTTGCTTAGGGCCGTACCAGTTGTATTTTGAGTATCTCCAAGGTTGGAAACTCCACAACCTCTCTGGGCAACCTGTGCCAGTGCTCAGTCACCCTCACAGTGAAAAAAGTGTTTCCTGATGTTCAGAGGGAACCTCCTGTGTTTCAGTTTGTGCCCATCATCTCTTTCCTGTCACTGGGCACCACTGAGAAGAGGCTGGCTCCATCTTCTTTGCAGTCTCCCTTCAGGTACTTAAATGCATTGATGAGATTTTTCCCCCTCAGCTTTCTCTTCTCCAGGTTGAACAGTCCCAGCTCTCTCAGCCTTTCCTTTTATGAGCAATGCTCCAGGTCCTTAATCAACTTTATGGTGTAGTAACGAGATAGCCTGGCACAACCCAACATCTTAAAACATTTCTTTGCTGAGGCTGAGATCAAGATTACCATGCTGGACCTTGAAGTGAAACACACCAACTACTAGAGGTCTGAACGTTTCAACCAGCAGCACAGCTACAGATAGAAAAGAGACAGAATTTTTATTGTTGAATATTTAACAAAAAGTTCAGCACTTACTTAATGGCTTCACACATGTCCAGTCCCATTTTCACACAATTCTTGGCATGATTTTGAAGAGATATAGGCAGTCCAGAAACACAGTAATAGCAGTCACCTAGAATTTTAATTCTCATACATTCATTTTCCTGGAGGAAAAAGCAAGGTGAGATGGTCATTTTCTTGAATGAATTACATAAACGAAGGGTTACTGTTACAAAGACTGACTTAAATGGTATTAGCAAAATCATTCTACTTAAGCTTGTTTCAGTAGAGAAGGATTTGGCTTGCTAAAAAAGAAGTGCTGTCAGAGAGATTTGTATGGATGATTCCTCCATCTGTTGTGGTCCTTAATGGGCAAAACCAGGAAGTAAGTTCATTGCAAAACATAGATCTGCAGTGTTGTTCACACCTTAGATTAAAGAACTGAGCCAAAGTATCATGCACTCAATCTAAATAAAGTCTTTTTATTTGAAATATGAAATCAAAAGACCTAGCCTTCCACATTTACATCTTTGAAGATGTACTAATGCAATACTTCCTGAAACTAGCAATCATAATCTTATTTCTATCTTTTGTACTCTAAGGCAATATAAAGTTTTGGGTTTTTTTTAACCAATACTGGACAATAGTTTTTGAACTAATAAAAACCACAGAAAAATTGTATTTGGTTTTTTTTTTTATTTTTATCTGTTTTAGTGTTTCCGATTTCACCATCACACATAGCATGGTTTGATGTAATTTTTATAAAAATGACACCTAAATAAACAGAAGAAGAACTTCTGATTATATTTGAATCTTTTCTTGAGTAATCAAGAGGCTGTGGTCAGTAATTAAAATTGCTTCAATCAGTATTGTCTCTCTTGTCCTCCAGTCTCTTAAATGCTTTTCCAGAGATCAGAAAACTGACTGTATCAGTTTTCTAGCTTGAGTTTCTTAATCCTTGTTATAGTAAAAAATCTATTTAAAGAGCTGTTCACCTTCCATTAAGCTTTATGGGGCTTCATGATCTGTCTCTATTGGTCCTATTAGAGAGAGCTATCTTGGGTTTCACAGATTGTCACACTGGCACAAACACACTGTTACACTCAGACCAGAGCCAGATTTTTTCTTCACACATTTCAAGTCTAATCTTCCTGCCAAAGCCTCAGAAATGCTGTCTGAAGGTAGAAGAAGAAAAAAAAAAATTAAAGATGACTTATTTAAACTAACTCTAGCAGCCCAGTAGAAACCCACCTTTGCAATCTGATCAAACTTGCCAAACAGCTCGTTTAGCATGTGCACCAATTCCCCTGGTGAGCAGTCACTGGCCAGACGAGTGAATCCCACAATATCAGCATACAAGATGCTACAACAGAAATGAACAGAAACTTAGTCACAGTTTCCTTCTGCAGAACTCAGACTTATCAATCAATCAACAGCAAAACCTGAAAGTAGGCATTCTGGAACTTCACAGAGGTATGACCGTACGCAAAATGGCCACTGCTAAATGTAGAGCAATAAATATATTTATAGGTAAACCTACATTTACCTTTACAGGCGTTACGTTTATATGTAATATATACCTATTATTACCTTTATAGGTATTACCTTCACAGGTATTACGTTTACAGGTATACTATATTTATAGGTATTTATAGGCATTCTATACCTATATTTGTTAGTGTATTCAAAAAATAGAAACTTTTTTCCTACTCACAAATTGGCAATATAATAATGGCAATTATTTCAATAAACACATTTGTTATCAGAAATTGTTTAATAACTTTTTATCATTGTAGACATTTTCTGTCTAGATTTACCTGTCAATGATATGCAGCATAGAAGTCTCTGTTCACTTGTTACTCAGACTATTAAATTCAAGCTTGGTTGCTAAGATATTCAAGCCATACACTATGTTTCTATTCACCAAGAAAACTTGACCAATTCATAGAATCAGGCTAAGGAAAAAGTATTTGTGCTTACAAGTGAAAATGAACTTCCTCAAAAGTCCTGCAATACTTGCTTTAAAAATGTAATTTCTAAGAATGTCATTCAAATTAACTTTCCCAATCAGAAAAAGAGGCAAAACAACTTGTAAAGATGAAAGAATATTTGAAATAAATGGTGAATTATTTTTCTAACTTGTAGAAATTTATAATTAATAATTAGATTCATCAGCAGAATATTTTATCTCAGATACTGTGTAAAATACACGTGATACAGCTGCCTCTATTTACATTATATAAAACCTGAGAAATTGCTTGTTAAGAAAATTACAAATTCAGAATAATATAACTGACACAAATTACAATTTTGACTAGTATACATGAAAGCAGGATTTGGTACTTTAACCTGAAAATTTAAGACATTATGAAGAAAGCCTGTTAACCCATAGCTTTCTCTAAACAACCCCTCTGTATTATCAGTCACCTTTGTTGCTCTTCTGGAACAGCAGATTGTTAGCATTTGATCAAATTAATGGCCTTAATCAAACATTAAGTTGTTGAAAAACATATTAAAACAATTATTTTCTTAATTGGTCTCTTAACACTTGCTTTTCAAAATTTTTCTGAATGTTGTTGATACATTTTATTATAGTACAATACCTTACATTGGTGTGCCTTTTGACATACAAATTGTGGAAGTTGTTGGTGTTTTCCAGCTGGCCTGCCTTGGGACCTTGTAACCTCTGAATGATCTCTGCTTTCATTTCCATGGCAATGTGAGCAGGCAGTAAAGAAAGTAGAAGACGCTCCTAAAATTTAAAATGAAATGTCCACAATTCCTTTAAGGAAAACGAAATTAGCAGGGAAGCAATATTGTGCAAGGCATATGCTATTGTCAATACCCTAGAATGTTTTGATGAGGCTTGCATTCAGGCATTTGCCTGGTACGGCCTCCAAAATTAATCAGTTCCTTGAAGAACTTGACAGATACACACATAATTTCCAACTAATATCTAACTTCTTCAAGTTTTTTTTCTAATATTAGAAAAAGCTTAAGCTAAACTTAACGTCTGAAGAAGTTATGTACAGTAATCCATTCAATATCTGAGTAGGATGCAGGAAATATGGATTAGCAAATAAAGCAAGAGCTTCAAGGACTGTTCAGAGGACTTCAGGGAAATTCAATCCAATTCAGGCAAGAGCAGGCTAAATCTTTTTATTTTAATGTATTTTAAATGATTAGTCATAGTTTTAGCAGTTGTTAGACTAAAAATGAAAAGATAAAATTAGGACACAGAACTTATTGAAAATGTTGGACTTCTGCAGACTATTCTGATATGCGCTCTACCCTTACTTTAATATGGCACTTGACAAACTAAAGTTTTTTGAAAATATTAAAAGGAAATTCAATATTTTTTTTAAAAAACCTACTTATTTTTCCTTATCTTTTGTTGGTATTACACTCATGGTCTTCTCCTTGGGAAGGTTTCTTACGTCAGTACATTTTAATTTTGCCCATTTTACCTGTGATAGCTTTTCATTGAGTTCCTACTTCTCTGGAAAACTGAATCAACAAGGGAATAGCTAGAACCCTGCAAAAAAAACCCTTTCTGCTTTGATCATACTCCACCTCAAAACTGAAGAAGGATTTCCCCATTTTCTCATAGGCAGAGGGGAGAGGCTAATTCTGGCTAAGCACAAAACCCAGAACCCTGAACCAGTGAGGAGGGGGAAGGCAGCTGCAAAAGCCCATGACGGAGTCAGAGAGAGAAAGAGCTATGCCAGAAAAGATGATGACCTCAAAATGTGCATGGTCTGCAGGTGTTACTCACAGTGATGCATTCTCCTAGATTCACAACGTGTATTTTTGCAGAGTTTGCAGTTCTATTCATGAAGGTACCAGAACAAGTGTAGCCATTAATCCAATGCTCCGCCTGGATTAATTATTCCTGTTCAGGTCTAATGACCTTGAATACAACATGGCAATAACAGGGCTATAGACTCTCTGATATTTGCAGCTACCTCGGCTATCTCTCTCTGCAACATATAATGAAGACTTCCCATTCCCCATAGCATTTGTGTACCTGTAAGCATAGCATCAATTTTCATGAGTACCTATGAAACTGATCCTGCACACACTTTGTAAAAAACCTCTATTTCAATGAATGAAGACAGAATCTTGCTTGGATGCTAAGTAATATTGAACTAATAATTTTCTCCCCCCCTCTCCCCTTTGGTGAGACCTAAACATAATTTTGATTCACATATGTCTGGACTGCTCTTTATTTTGCATACTAAGGCATATCATATAAACAGTAAGACGAGTTATGAAATAAATGATCAAGGTAAAGCATATCTGTCTCTAGCCTGACTAAAGGAGGCAAGAAAAAAAGATGTACTGTTTTCCTACTGCTAGGATCTCAGATTTGACACACTGTAACTGAGAAGAATATATACAATTGACTTTTAATCAAAATCTTAATGTGGCTTTATTTCTTAAATGCAAGATTAATTTAGTATGTTTAGGCATTTCAGCAAGTACACATCCAAGAGGCCGCTGTATTTTTATTTCTAACGTAGTCCACTGATCCTTGGTGGAGGTATTTTGCTAACTTATAAAGAACGCCTGAAAAACCAGTGGATTTTTTTTCCATAATGAAAGCTTACTCTTGCAAGTTGCTCTTTATCTAACAGCAAGTTGCTGTTTTGTGATGTACAGGACAGGTCAGCACTTGTTAATAATTATCATTAAATAGTTAACAAAGAGGTGAGTGCTTTTAGCTCCAATTTTACATCACTGTGCTCATGTACCATGGCTAGGAAATGCCAGCTAGCTCACTATCTTCCTATGACTCCATTTTGATTCCAGACACGCAGTGAGGCAGACACTCAACGTCCAGGTTACTGCTTATGTCTTTGAAACCCAGAGGGGCTGGCAAAAGGTCAAAGAGTAAAGCAACAAAAGTTTTCAAGAAAGCAATACAAAAAGCAGTAGAAAAAGTTTTCGTAGGAAGCAGCGTAAAGTCAGCTATAAGCTAAAGAATCATAAAAGGAAAGGGAAAACAGAATGCCCTTATTTTGTAGAGAACAGCAGGAGAGACAGGGCATTTCCCCTCCTTTTTCTCTCCAGGCCAGACCACTACCCCGTTCTGCTTAAACGTCCTAGTGAAGCTGTCACCACACCAGAACTTCCCTCCAAAGAATGTTTTCCTTCCTCCATTTCCACTGTACAAAAGAGAAGGTTACAACCAGAGGTGGCTTTAGAGAACTGCAACTGGTGAAGCACACTGCAAAATATCCTGCCACCCCCAGCTACGCCTAAACGCTTCAGCCACCCTCTCCACCACGCAGGCTGCGAGTGCTCACATTTCAACCCTGAAGTTGGCACTTGTGTGATAATGTGTTATCAATTCACATATTACATTTCACAAAGATTGTTAATTTTGGTTTCTTTCACTAAAAGACAACTGCGAAAGAAGCTGAATTTCAACTTTTTATGAAGACCGTGGCTGGGCTGGTCAGCTAGCCAAATACAAAATGGTTACAAATACATTGTTCCCTCTCTTTCTGCTAAAAGATCCTAAGAAATGCAAAGCATTGAAGAACACCTTCATGTTTCGTCATCTCTGGTAGCTAAAAAGAGCATAGTGGAAGGATCAAAACCAATTGCTAGTCAGATTGTAGTGACTGATGTGCACTGAAATCTCTGCAGACTGGAACGGTGTGAGGAACACAGCAAATCAAGACTGCTGCTTATGATGGCTTTTTATTTGATAATACATTCTGTACTATTCTCTTAAAAAGATAGAAAATCTACACATCAAAACCTAGGTGAACTGACATACAAGACACTGACTTTGAGACAAAAGACTTGTCTGTTTGTTGTAGACAGAGAAGCCACACTCAGGGCTACAGTCTATAAGAAAAAAGCCAAAGTAATTCTGAATGCAGGTCAAGATGCAGCATTTAAAAGTCTTCAGACTAAAAATAACAGTACCCACTTCTGATGAAAGAGAAACTGTGGTGCTATGGCAATAATGAAAATCCCCTCACAAATGTCTTTCCCTGAAATATTACCAACACGACTTTACAGCCAGTACATGTGATTCATGCACACAAGACTATTTCCTGACCGTTCGTGTTCTCTGGGGCTATGCTTTCCCCTCACACTCAGATCACTTGTAGCTGAGATCTTTAAGTCCTAGGGCTAAAAGACAGAGCACACAATCCATACTGAATACAACATGTAGTATTGTACACAACATAGTGTTTTTCAATACTGTAGGGTTAAGTACTCCTCTCTTCTCAGAACATGTCCATCTGGATCCCAGAAGATGGCTAGCAAGTAGTCATTCTCCCTGGATTCTCTAACAGGATTTTCAGTGGTATCTGTCAAACTGTTTCTTAAGTTCCTGCTCTCTCAAACTCTCACATCCAAGTTGATTTCCTTGTCAGAATTTTCCCTAAATTATACAGATGACTTTAGCAGTCACTGCCAGTTACTCATCGCTCCCCTAAAGCTTGATAAAGGATGTTTGTTTAGCTAGAGTAAGTTAGCATATCTCAGTTAAAGATCATAGGACTGCATTGGTTTTTGCAAGATGGCAATTGCATTTGCAGTATCTTGCACAATGGAGGTCATGCTGTTATTATGCAGTAAGCAAGCAAAATATCCTCAAATGCTTGGCACAGTACATTTTCTTAAGTGCGTATTTCACAAATCAAACTCTTCTTGGCCGGAGGCAATAATGCTTTATTTATTTGCTCATGCTCATTTTGTTATGTAAACTACCAATTCTGATTCACTCATTTGTACAAGATTACATGACTATCAACCCTTCTCTTTACCAAAGCATAAAGAATTCTAAGAATTTATAGATTTAAAGGCCAAATATTCTTCCATCTAGTCTGATCTCTTGAATAATATAGACAATACAATGTCATCATGGAGAAACAAAGGTATTCTGATAGGGCTCACTACACTAAAATTAGCTTAGCACCTCACTCTCAATGGAGAGAAACTCTTCTTCAAGGCAATCCGATACTGAAGTCTACCCCCCAAGAGAGAGTTTCAGTCTCAGTCTCGCTCTCAGTCTCTGTGTCTCTCAGTCTCCACCCCACCACCCCCTGCCCCACCAAAAAAATCTGCAGGTCCACATTTTGGTCTTATTGGAAGAAATGTCCATCTTTGTTGTTGAGCTTCTGATGTTGAAGAAGTCTGCAGAAAAACTACATATATGTAGATCAATGAAGTGATATAGGGACATTTTTGTCCCTATCATCCCATATAGGGATATTCTTGTCCCTTACAATGTCATTTAGGGCACTGAATATGGAATTCTACTTTTCTGTGGGCTGGGCTTTGTTTTCAGATTCCTGTGGCATATGTCTAATCATCTATCTAGCAAGTTTCACAAACCAGGTCAGTAAGTCAGCAGTAAGAGCTCTAGAAGCAATTAGCCTATACGTGCATCCAGCTTCACAACAAAGTTTACAAATAAACATGGATAAAATAAAATTTTCAGCTGCCCTTGAAATGTACCAAGAAATAACCTACAAGAAAGGAATCTTGTGATTCCTGATCACACAATGATGAATCAGCCATGTGGCTGATAGAGATGGTGATCAACAGGCTACTTGTTTGGCAAATTATGGTACTGTTTACCCAGATCTCATGCACATTCTCTTAAATACACCTACTAGGATAAACAGCTGTAAATTGTTTTTTCTTGAAGATAACATGGACTCCTAACTTGGAGGGGAGATTTTTTTAAAAATTAGGCGCTATTATCCCCTTAAATTTAGCCTA